CCTTAGCATGTGAGTGGCTACATACAAAGAACAATATATACATTCTCTCTCATCCTCCCTCTGAATAATTTTCTTTGTGAAAGACCTCTCACATATATTTATGGAAAAAATCCTTTAGTAATAAAAGAGCACAAGAATTTTTAACATTATAAATATTGCCTAGAGAAATCTTTGACACAAATAACATGTTTCTTCTTGTCTTTTTTTAAATGCCTGAATTTTTTCTTATAAAATCAGTCTCACAGTGAATAGTTTTCTATCTTACCCTTCCCGCCACCGCCCCCACCTCCCATTTATTCACCTATCAGGGGAATGTTACCATATTATTAGATATTCTTTAGGAACATGATTTCCAATGATGGCAAATATTGATTGAGTTCGTAAATTGTGTCTGGCACTGTTCTAGGCACTGAAGACATGAAAAAGAACATGATAGTCCCTAGCCTCAAGGAATTTATATTCTAGCAGAGACAGGTGATAAACCTGTAAAAACAGTGAATAAGTGATATAGTTCCAGATAAAATAGGATGATAGATGGTGACTGGCAGGCTACTTTGCTTGAGGGAAGCCCTCTTGATGAGGTGACTTGAGTTAGGATTGGGAAGCTGAGAAGGAGAAAAGCACTCAATGTCTTGGGAAAGAACTTTGTAAGCAGAAGTAACAAAAAATGCAAGGACCCTGAGACATGAGTGAGCATGTCGTGGTCTAGGAACAGAGAGAAGCATTATAGCTGGAGCTTGGTGGGGAGGGGGAGTGAATAGGGAAATGAGTTTAGAGATCTAGAGGGGACCCAAGTCACCTTGGCCTTGTGGGAGGTTGGATAAGGAGGTGGGACTTTATTCTAGTGGCGATAAGACTCCATTAGAGAATTTTCCAGCAAGGGGCTGGCACGATGTGATTATAAAGACATCACTTTGGCAGCTGAGTAGGAGATGGTGTATGGTATACAAGAGCACAGGCAGCAGAGCTGTGTTAACAAGCTCTCACAATCATCCAGGCAAGAGACAACGAAGCTCAGGACAGGATGTAGTAAGGTCACAAGGAAGAGGGAAGAGTGATGGACTCAACACATAACTTGATATGTGGTGATATGGGTGATAAACCCCATAGAAATTTTTTTAAGTTTTAGATTTATGTATTGACTTATGAAGATTTGAACAACACAATAAATAAACTTAATTAGACATGCAAAGAGCTTTGCATCCAACGACGAGTGAACCCATATTCTTCATGAGCACACATGAGACATTTACACAAAACGACCACGGACTAGATGACAAAAATGAGTCTCTAAAGTTTCAAAGACGTGCATCTTCAAAGATCTTTGAAGTACTGTAGATATAAGTCTATTACTTTTAGTGTTAATCTCAGAATAAGAAAAGAAAAACCCTTTAGTTAAAAAACTTATAAACAAGAAGAATAGAAATTTCATGACTCCTATTAACCAACAGGCCAGCATTTGGTACCAATATAATTTCACCCTTAATGCTATTGTTGAAAGTATTTAAGTGCCTGGGAAACCCATGCTCTCTTTCCTCCCTGATCTTACATTCTGAGTAGATCAAGCCCTTTCACACTTGGCGCATCTTCAGTGAAGACTATAATTAAATCTTTATTTGAAAACATGACTAAAAGTCCAGCACTCCCTGCATTACAGAGGCTACACGAATTTGTGGTGAATTTGATGGGGAGTGTTAGGTTAAGGTATAGAATCAAGGATTACATGGGCAACTGGGTACTGCCATGAGATGAGAAAAACTTGAGGAGTGAGCGGTCTTAGGAGGTAAACATTAAAGATTCTGTGTGGGAAAAGTTAGCCCCAGAGGCCTGTTGGAGCTCCAAGTGAAGATGCTGGGTGGGTAACTGGACAAATGTAGGTGGAGATTGGGGGAACTTGCAGGCTAGAGAAATAAATAACATCTATACACTGGATAGGATCACCTAGGAGACTGCATAGTTAAGGAGAAAAAGAGAGCTAAGGGCAGAATCCTGGGATACGCCAACATGCACAGTATTTATGGCATTGTCCACTTGCAGGCCTTTATGTGTTCCCCACATTTCCTGTCACATTTGCAGTTAAATAGGGCCATGTCAATAGCTCTGGACAATGCATGGAGGAAGCATCTAAGAACTGGTTCAAGACCTTCAGTTGTTCTCCTCTCCTGCCCCAGGAATCATGAATCTATGTGTTGCAACTGATGTCTGTCAGCCATAATCCCTGAGTAACTACGTGGAACAAAGCCCCTTTCTGATCCATGTTAGACATGTTACATGACAGAGAAACTATTATGTGTTAAGCCATGGCAAACTTCAGGGTTAATTTGTTACCTCAGCATACCTTGGCCGATCCTAATTCAGAATTCCGTCATATGCCATACCATAACAAAGCACTATTTTTCATTAAAAAAAGGGGGGGGGCATATGTGATTTGATAGGTTGCCAACAAAAGTATATCAGTGGTTATTTAAAACTTCTAGCAAAACAAAGTTTAAACAAATTCCTTGTTCATTTTAGAAGCTGAAGAGCAATTCCAGAACTGTTGAGTGAATAATGCAAGATTATGTCCATTCTTTCCAAGATCCTCATCTCTCACCTGTTTTCTTTTTCTGATTCTTAAAGTTTATGAAACATTCTTTTTATGCACATTTCTTGGAAAATTCTTTATGTTAATATTGGTGCTTTATAATTTTCTAAATTTCTCCTAGATTAATACTCTCCCATTCACCAGCTAATTTTTAGATGTATGATTCATTTGACAAATTGATCATAACAAATATACCTCATTCATTCATTTAATAAATTTTAATTTAGTCTCTATTGTCTTTTAAACATTTTGATAGGAGCCAGGGAGAGAATGAAACATGGTCAGTACTTACTTTATGTCATGATCTCACAGTTTGTGGGTTTGAGCTCCGTGTTCGGCTCTGTGCTGACAGCTCAGAGCCTGGAGCCTGCTTCAGATTCTGTCTCTCTCTCTTTCTCTGCCCCTTCCCTGCTCGTGCTGTGTCTCTCTGTCTCTCAAAAATAAATGTTAAAAAAAAAAAAAAAAAAAAAAAGAAATGTACCCAGACTACCTTAAAGAGAAAGAGATTTTATTGTAAAAATAGAACCTTCAAAGTATCTGGTATTATGGCAGCCTGCGGGACTACGGGCCAGGTAGTCTCTGTGTTACACACTTATGTCTACTTCTGTCTTTTTTTTTTTTTTTTCTCTTTCTGATTTCTTCCATTACCTTTGTCTGTCCTTACTCCCTACTCTGTAAATCTGTTCTCAAGCTTGTATTATTTGTGGTTTGTTTCTTCATAGCTTCAATCTGCATGCTCCCTTATAGTTCAATCTTATGGTTTCTCTACCTAATTAATTTCCTTTTTCTAGTTCAAACTTCCAGGAGAATCTGTTGGGCTGCTTCATTCATTCAGGCATTCAGAACATTTATATGAACTACCTACTATGTGTAGGCAATGTATCCCTATGGTAATTTGGGCCCCCTTTTAGAACTCTGAATTATCCTTCCTCTCTCATTCAAAAACTGACTGTTCCCTGGGATCTTGCTAGGGATGCTGAATTTGGCCTCTATTCCCAATCTACTAAATCAGAATCTTATTTTAAGATGATCCCCAGGTTATTTGTATGCCCATTCAAGTTCGAGAAGCACTGTTTTAAAGTTCTAGTTCTCAAAGCTGACTGTACAGTGGAAACATTTGGGGATTAAAAAAAAATTTACCGATGCCTGGATCCTTCCTGCAGAAATTCAGATTTAATTTTCTGGGGCGCGGCACTCAAAAGGTGCTAGATGATTCCAATGTGTAGGCAGGTTTGAAAATCTCCGAATCAGTCCTGTGTCACCACTGACCAACTGTAAGCCTAGAATAATTGCTTAGTTTCTCTCTAGGCCAGATTCCTTGTATCTTAAGTGAAGATACCCTGTTTACCTCAGAGTTGTTCTGAGAGACAAATGTGATCACACATGTAAAACATTTGAAATGTGTGCCTATAAATCCCATGCATCACTTAAGTTCTTTAAACCCAACTTTTCATATATAATTGGGGAGAAATGCATTATCATATATGAGAAGTTAAGTAAAAATGCATGGAAAACAATGTAAAAGTTAACATCATTAAGCTTTGTCATTGTAAAGCTAACACGAGTGAGTAAGCTTTACCTGTTAACCCATTTTACTTATCATATAACTGAGAGAGAGGTTAAGTAGCTCTCTCAAGACCCTGAAAGCTGTAAAAGAAACATTATTCACCAGATGCTCTTCAAAAATGACAGGGGAACCTTAAGACCATTGCAACTGGGGTCAAGACTATTGCAATGTGTCAGAGAGACTGAATTCAACTCCAAGTACAACAGGCACCAATAGGGTTTATTGCCAGGGGTCAGGGCGAGGGAGGGAATGGAAACTTATTAACAGGAAGTTGGTTAGATATCAAGGTTGAGGGGGAAGAGGAGCTCCATTAAATACCAAGGGTGGAGGAAGAGGAGCTTGATTAGATACTAAAGGTAAGGGGATTCTTGATAAACTGTCTTCGCAGAAGTCTTTGGTAAAACCGGGCTCAGCAGGCCAAGAATGAGGCCCAGTCTGGAAGAGCGCTCAAAAAAAAAAAAAAAAAAATCTGACTTCAGTTTGCTGCAGGACTGTGCCCGTCGAGGCGGGGAGAGGAACTAGGTGGATCTAAATCCGCAGAACTTGCTGACCCTACATCCCCAGTATTACGGGTTAACACTAAAACCTCATACGACCCAATGTGTCTGGCGCTGTACACTCCGGAAGTAAGACTACTAGCTGCATTCCTGCTTCAAATGAAATCAACTCCACATCCGTGCTCCAGCTCACTCCTCTATCCGGAGTCTCCAGGATCCAAACTTGCCCGGGCAAGAACCACCTCCACTGCGGACTCCAGGGCGGGCCCCGCAAGCACCTGCCGCGCGCCAATCACAGGCCTGCGCGCAGGGGCGCAAGCGCCACGGCCCTGGGCGGGGCCTCGTTGCTTACCATTCTCCGCCGCCCTGTCGGCCTCTCGCCGCCCTGATTGGCGCTCCTGGAATGACGTAGACGGCCGCCTCGGCCTATGGTGGAGGAGCCGGCCGGCCGGCCGGGTTTGGCGGAAGTGGTGTGGGCGAGGTGTCCCGCAGTGCGGAGAAGCCTCGCGCCGGAGGGTGCTGGGCACGCGAGCTGCGCTGGGGCCATCACTTCCCCTCCCTCCGGGCGCCCGGAAGATGACCCGCTTCGCGCTGACCGTTGTGCGGCAGTGAGTATTGCTGTCGCAGGGTGCCCTTGTCGCCTTCTCGTCAGGGAGTTGTTGAGGAGTGGGTGAAGAGACCGTTGACCTGTCACCCCTCCTCTTCCCTGCTTGCTCGCCCTTCGGAGGGTTGGACCCCTCTTCCCCCGGCGCCCCTGAGCCGGGAAGGCGGGTCGTAAATATCTGGAGTCCGGCGTTACAGATGAGCACGCTGAGGTCCGGAGGAGTAAATGGCCGAGGTTCGCAGCCACTTGGCGGAGTTAAAGCTGAAAAAAGCCAGCCTTGGCTCCGGACTTCGTGCGCCGCTGGTTGCCCACCCCCCGCCCCAACGGATCCTGAAGAGTTTGCGGGATAGCTCGTCCCAGGCCAGTATTTGTGTGCTGGCTGCCTTCCGCCGCTGTGCCTCTCCGTCTGTGCTGCACCCCCGCCCCTCGCTTGCCAGGGCAGCCGCAGGCGTGGACCTGAGATTTAGTTCTTCCCTCCCGAGATCACACTGCTGGCGGCGGCGGAGGGCCTCCACCCTCGTCTCTGCAACCCGCATCACCCCGAACAAATATTTTTATCATAACATTCCACGGTGGAGCTGAAGGCTGCTACGTCTTCATGTCTCTTATCTTTTTTCCTTCGTAACGCTTATTTGCCGACTGTTAATGGAAGTGCAGTGCAGGGTGGTTAAGACCACAGATTTTTCAAGCAGGATAGACCTGGGTTAGAATCCGGGCTCTGGTTAGGAGGAACCTTGTAACCGCGGCTTCCGTTAACGTAATCTTTACGACGTCAGTTTGCTAATACATAAAATGGGGATAGTGAAAATACCTGCCTCACTAGTGTGAGGCAGAGTGTATAGTGCAACGGAGGGGAAGATATGTGTCTCAAGAACTAAATAACTTCTAATTCTGTAAGAGCATCTGTAATAAAAATGTAGTCAGTCCTTAGGATGTATGTATAATTTTATCAGACCCGCATTTTGAATATGTGCTAGGTGCCCGTGGACTGGATTATACAGGTAAATAAGATACCGTTTTTGACTTCCAGAGTTCACAAGGAACAGTAATAGGACTTAACCTTGTCGAGCTGACTTTAATTGGTATCTTTTTTTTTTTTTTGTCCTGTTCTTCCTTTATGGGAGGATAATCTTAGGAATCATCAGAATTATCCCTGTAAGACTCACAGGATTTTGATGACTAAACTAGAAATTGAGTTCCTCTCTGTCTCTTCCCCACCCTTCCATTTTATAGACTGCTTTATGACCATTTGATGACCTACTTAAGGTCATGGATAGCTCATTGGTAGCAGAGCAGGAAGTAGAGCCCTTCTTTTTCCAGTGTTTGAGCACCTTATGGATGCCTGAACTCAGCCAGTACTGTGTCTGACATATAATTGAAGTTCACAAGTCGCAGGAAATCTGGATTGAACCATCCCTTGATAGTAAGGTGATTTCTGTTTAGATTCTTATGGACAGTAGTTACATGAATTTGGATTTTGTCTCCTCCGTGCTTCTTAAAAAAGGGCTTGGTTTAAAAAACTGATTCCTTATAGAAATCCTTTGAGGAATCAATTTAAAAGTAAGTCTTTATACATTATTATGTGCCAGGCACTGTTGTAATTAAGTTCTGACAGTGCAGTGAGGTGAGGACTGCTTCTCAGTTTGCAGGTGAGGAAACAGATGCAGAAGTCCTGTAACTTGCTTGAAGTCAGGTGGCTGGTGGGGTGGTGGAATTGAAGCAAAGGAGCTTGACTCTACAGCCCATCCCATCCTCTTAATCACTGTCCTCTCTGCCTCCTTATTTATTGAGTTAAAACCTAGTGTTTGTAGATTGCTTGAATATCACCAGCTATTTTAGTGGCTACTTTTTATTTCTGCTAATATAATTGTGAAGAGTGTTAAGAATAGTTTGCTTTGTTCTGTTTTATTCATGGGAGAGTGGAGTTAAAGTGTTGAAATAATTGATAGGGTTATGGTGAGCTGCCTTTCCTGCCTGGATCATCCCTCTTTCCTCTTCCAAATTCTCCAAGCTAAGAATTAATGACGCTTTCAGGAAACGAAACGATTGCAAACTTGATTAATAATCACCATAGTTAAATATAATGAATCCACAGGATTGGGTCATTTAGCATAATATTGGGAATAGCACTTGACTTTTCTATTATCTGATTCTGTATAACTAAGATAGTCCAGTGCTTTGAAACTGATAGCATGATCGGTATTTTTAAAGAGATGAATAATTTTAGTGAACAGTGCCTCTTCAGATAATTCCAGAAAGCTTTTAAAATGCAGTTTCTGTAAGTTCAACCAAATCCTTTATGAATCTTATGCTGTAACTACCTGTGCGTTTATCTTCGACATACTTGTGCTCAGAAGTATCATTTTGGAATAGAATATCCAAGATTGCAAATTTCAAGTCTTTTAGTATTATTAAACTATAACTTCTGATCTTCTAGTCCAGCATTGTTGAAAACCCCAATATATGTAGATTGGGAATTCCATCACCTACATAACCCATTGAAGGCCCCAGTTCCTTGAAATATTATTTGTGTCTGTTTGCAATTAGTTGCCTGGAAAACCATCCCATTTCACTTCCTTTTTAACTAGCTCTTAAAACAAAAAATTTTACAAACCTCATTCAATTCGTTTTTAATGACCTAAAGATGATAAATTAGTAAAGTTAATGATAGCAAAACTGATTTGCTTTTCTTATGCTACCTCTATTGGCAGTTACTTTTTTGTTGAATGCCAATAATTGTTCTGGTCATAAATAAAGCAAGCAAAGTAAGTGTTAGGGCACCTGTGAATTTTTATAAAGATACATGTTAGTTAAGTTATGATACTTGTTTTCTGAGAATAGGATTGATCAATTGGGAGAGCATTTACAACTAGGACTGACATATAAATAAAAATATATCATGAGTTGGGTGTGTTACGTCCCCCACCCCGACCATCTAGTGACGGTTTCCATGTTACTAGCCCTCGAAATCTTCTATATTTTCGAGTGAATTAATTGGTAGAGAGGAATTCGGATAAAGCTGTATCCTTGATTAAATATCAGGTGAGGCTTTGCATTTCCATGTACACTGAAGCATATCTATTTTGAAAACATGCCCCAGATCTGTACTCATTTCCCATGATTTGCCTTGGTCTTGTGGCAAACAGTACTCATCTATTGAATTCGAATTCTTTAAAAGAATATGATCGGGAAATTAAGCTTTCTAAATGACTTCTAAAGAAATGCCATAGAATATAAATGAGAACTAACAAAATAAAATCTTTTAAAGTGAAGAATAGTGTAATAACCTACAAAATGAATGATGCATATTTGTGGGACCTATAAATGGCTGGTCATAAGACTTAACTTCTTGGCATAAGCATTTGGATTCTTGCAGAGTCGGGTGTTCTGTTTTGGAAATGGATCACACTGGAGATTTTGAAAATGAGTAGTGTTATTCCTGACTGTTTCAAAATATATTCCTCTGACCTTTCAGCTCCTTCCACCTTCTCTGCCACTATCACAAGCCACACTTTGGTTAAGGGAAGTAGATTAATAGTAAAACTATTTCAGCCACCTGATTTTCTTTCCCACTCCCAAAACAAACTTTAAACAGTTGCCTTAAGGATTTATACAAACCTCTTGATAAAGCTGATAGCTGTAAAACTAAATATTTATGAAAGTTTTTGGGAAAAAAATTCTCTTTCTAGATTCCTGCTCTGCCTGCTTCAGATTCTGTGTCTCCCTCTCTCTCTCCCCGTTTCTCTGCACCTCCCCTGCTTGTGCTGTCCCTCTCTCTCTCTCTCTCTCTCTCTCTCTCTCAAAAATAAACAAAAAGAATTTTTTTAAACGGCAGTTTCTCTATCATCACCATGGATACTTTATCTGTCTGAATGGTAGAGATTAATACCCTCTTTCACATCCATTGTGTATGATTTCGAATGAATTTTGGAGTAAAAGACATATTTTATTAATATTAACCACAATGATGACAATGGCAGATCAGTGGTAAATAGTTATGAAAATCTTCATATATTTGTCATACATTTTTTTAAAGTTACATCCACATGTTCAGAAATCAGAACAATTCTTATGTATCTTTCTGGTGTTTGTGTGCACATGTGCACGCAGGTCCAAATGTTTATTCTTATTTTCCACCTTTCTAAAAATATAGCATTCTTTTTAGATTATTCTGCACTTTGCTTTTGCTCTTTAATATATTTTGGTAATTTTTCCAAACCTTTCCATAAATCATTCTCTTTTTTAGGGGACACAATTACCTAGTATTCCACTATGTATATATGCCACTATTTATTTGTTAATGTAACCAGTTCTCTGTTAGTGGATATTTAGGTTATTTACCAGCTTTTGCTACTAGAAAAAATATTGTGGCAGATACTGTTTTAAATAAGGTTGAATGCAAGTATTCCCAGTATTATGGTTGCTGTATTAAAGGGCAAACGGATTTATTATTTTGATTGATATTTCCAGATGACCTTCCATTGGCAGAGTACATACACTGAGGTTCTGTTATTTCCCTGGGTTTTCTCTAGGCAATGAGTATGTTAGGGCAAGGGAACCTCTGGCTGTGCCTTTAAGGAGCTGGAACCTGGTTAGACACACATCTAAAAAGGTTAATTAGCATATGGGTGGTAACTGACAGTACGGGCCCCCCCCCCCGCGGGGGGGCGGAATGGGAGTGTAGCCTGGGTGTGTTTAAATGGGATAGGTAGGTGGGGAATGGTGCCTGGGAGGGAATGCTTCCTCAGGGAGCAGGCTGTTTGTATTGGGTCTGGAAGAGTGAGAACATACTGGTCAGGTCCAGTGGTCTCTGTTTTCATAAGCTCACCAGGGGATTCAGATACACTCTCAAGTTTGAGAAACACTGTTCTAGGCAGAGGTTGGCAGACAACTATTTTTGTATATGAGGGACAAGGTTCCAGGCAGAGGCCCGGGTTTGTGATTCTGACTCTTAAGATTTGATGGAGTTCCTTTCTAGACTGTGTAAATCAATCCATGTGAAGGCTTTTGTTTTTTTTAAACTAGTGCTTTGTTTAAAACAAAGCAGGGGTGATGAGCCTGAGCCTGAGCCTTCACAGTAATCAGGGAAATATAGTCAGATAAAACTGAGATGAACTGTTCTGTGCCAAATTGGCACAAATGGGAAACTCTGACATTACTGAATGTTGGAGAGGATGTGGAACACTGCTGGGGGTTGTAAATTGCTGTGACCACTTCGCTATTGTCTGATAAATCTAAATGTTTGCATACTCTGTGGCTTAGCAATTCTGGTGCTAGGCCTAGATCACTAGGTATGGCTTTGCAAACTTTTAATTAAGGGGTAGGAAGTAGCTTAGGCTTTACAAGCCATGCACTCTGTCTGGACCGCTCAGTTCCATTATTATAGTGTGAAAGTAGCCATAAACAACATGTAAACAAATGGGTATGATTATATTCCAGTACAACTCTACCAAGATCGTGTGCCGGTCTTTGAGTAGTTCTCAAACATGAATGTGCATCAGAATCACTTGGTGGGTTATTAAAACACATGAACTGGGCCACAACCTCTGAGCTTCTGATTCGGGAGTCTGAAGTGGGGCCTGAGAATTTGCATTTCCAAAAGGCCCCAGGCAGTGTCAGTGATGCTGGTTCAGAGGCCCCACTTTGCCACCCACTGCCCTAGAGAATCTGATGTGCTCTATACAAACATGTTTATTCACAGCAGCTTAGCTCCAAACTGGAAACAATGTAAATATATCAACAATATAAATAACACTGGGAAATTCTTGAGTATTACACAGTAATGAGAGTGTAAGAGTGTGCCACTGGTCACAACAGTGGTGTATCTCCCAAACAATGTTGAGGAATGGTAGCAACACAGGACTGCCATACAGCAAGAAGCAACTCATTATAAAGTTCAACAACAGGCAAGCTAATCCTATGCTGTACTTGGATGGGAAAGCTATGAAGAAAGGCAAAGCAAATGAGCATCTAAATAAATAAATGCCAGGTAGTGATCCACTGGGGGTGGGAGGACATTGTGGTTGGAAAGAGACCCGCTCTAGGAGGCTGGCAGTGGTGATCTGTTAACTTGGGTGGGGTCACCAGGGTGTTGACTTTATGGTATACTATTTGTTTACATTGTTTATTTCACGATTTTTACAAGATTTTAAATGCATTATGTTGAATCTTCAATTTCTGTATAGCTCTGTCCAAAAATGACCTATAAACAGAACTATTCAGTGCTTACTAAAAGCTGAACAGTGTTTAAACACTTTATCTATATTCATTCAATTACCCCAAGAGTCCTGTGAAATGGGGGCTGTTATCATCCCGGTTTTACAGACAAAGAACAGAGGCACTCAAGCTTAACCAAGTTCCTAAGTATATAGCCAAAGCAGTTTTTGTTCTTCAGGCTGCTATATGGCAGTGAAATTTACTTCAAAGGATTTTCATCTCCCCTTGACATAGAAATGTATCAATATGAGCTGTAGACATTTGGTACCAAATGAGGAAACAACTTGATCCAAAGAAACCTATTTACTATTTTTACCCACCCTTCCAGTTTTGTGTCCAGTGTCTACACAGAACAAGCCAACTCCTTTTTCCCCCCGGGGTAGCCACCAGTCCTTCTCATCTCTGTTTTCCAGTGCCTAGCACTGTACTTAGCACATAAAAAGAGCTCAAAGAATTTTGAACTCAGTTCTTGATAGCTTTTCTGGTATTTGATTGCTTTTACTGTTGTCTGGTCTCGTCCAGATAGCACATCCCCCTCCCCTTCCACTTTGTGTTCCCTCCAGCCTCAGTTGATGGTTATTTTATGACAAAGTTTCCAGTCCTTCACTCTTAACAGTTGCTTTGAAATTGGTTTGGTTTTTTTAATTCTTAAAAGCATAGTACCCCAACCTCAGTTTTTAGTGTCCTCTCCGAGATAGTTGTCAGCATTACAAAAAGGAACAGGTGGAGATCTAGGAACCGGAAGAAGCCAGGGCATCTGAAAGGTTGTCCACTTCTTTCCCACCACATTCGGGTTCCCTCGCACTTGCTCCTTCAATCCAGCAACAAACCAACTCTCATGGCTTCCTCCTGCTGCTTGTGAAAGGAGTTTTAGTTAACATTTATTTTAACAAGATTATTTAATGAAAATTATATATACATATTAATAGAATATTCTACTTACAATTATGATTGATTCATGATTTATACATTTTAATTTGGGTCAGTATGAAATTCTTAGCCCAAATCAACTAAGTACATTAGAGTAGATGCTTGTAAATATCAATTTAGAACAAATTTTATGTTTATAGGTTAGATTGTGAAGTATGCTACAAGGTTCATATGCTCCCTTTGTGAATATCATTACCTTTCATTGATGATTTTTTTTTCTGATTTCAAAAATAACCTATTTGGTAATAAAGGTTTTTTCCCCCCCTCTCTATTTTAGTGGAGAAACAAGATTTAACAAGGAGAAAATAATTCAAGGTTAGTATGCTTTATTTTAGCTGTCTCCTCTAGTGTTAATGTGATATGTAAGCAAATCAGAGTTGGTGGGGGAGGGGGGCCTGGGGACAGCTCTGTATTGTGAGCAGTATTAAAGAATTAAAGCATCATAGTTACAGAAATAGGATCAGAGCAGATGGTAACTAGGAGGAATAAGTTTCTTAAGGAACTGGATGTAAAGAACCCGATTCCAAGTTGCTTATGGGTAGCTTCACAGTGGCCCAGTCAGCTGATTAAAGAGTTATGTTGGGTCTAGTGGTCTTAAAATGTAACTGCTGTGATTTAAAATGATTTCATATTTGGAAACATGAAGTTTGCTGGCTAGTTAGTTAATGGTATTTTTCTGCTTAAGGTGGTTATATTTTTTTTAGTAGTAACAAAGAAGAGGTTTAAAAAGCGAATTCCTGTTCTCATACAGGATTCTTGCTTTATTCCAAACAGATTCTTCCTCCCTTGTTCTGCTAATTTGGGTTCAGATCTTAATCTCCCTGTGATCCAGCAAGTCTAGCGTGTATATCTTGGGTGAACTCTCAGTCAGACGTACTATTTCTGTGCGGTGATTACAAAAGCATTTCATTTTATTTTTTTGGTTAGGGACATCTGGAGTTTGCAGAAACTGATTTTCATACCCAGTGTGCCTGACTCCCGCTTCTGAAAACTAGTCTGATAATTAAATGAACCTTTGTTTTCTGGTGACACGTGCCCCACCCAAATTAGCCTTTGGATTTAACACCTGGTTCTTTAGTACTTGTCTCATTTCATTCCACGCTGACAATGGAGCCGGAATAAAAGTGTTTGTGGTCACACCTGTTTCCACATTTGTGTTCTTTTCCTAACTTTGTCAGTTAAATGCTTCGTTCTTTAAGTTACAGCATTCAAGACATGTATTTCCAAGTACCATTTTTGTTGCATACCTACAGTTTTGATAATGTAGTAATTTTGTCAGTATCGGCATCAGGTGTCTTAAATTGTCTTCGGTGACCCATGAATTATTTAGAACTATCTTTTAAATTTCCAAATGGCTAAGCTTTTTTTTTTTGTTGTTCATCTTTTTTGGTTGACTTCCAATTATATTTTGTATTCTTTCTGACAAGATGGTTTATTTGATATCTCTTTGAAATCAGTGAACATGGTCAGTGTTTATAAATCTACCATTCTATGCTTGACAAAAATCTGTATTTTCTAATTGTTGGGTTTGGAGTTAGGTGTCAAATAAGCAACCTCTGTTTTATTGTTCAAATCTTGTGTGCTTTGCTAATTTTGTCAATTTACAGATTTGCCTGCATGACCTAAATATGATTTTATGGTTGAGATGTGGAATATCCCACTGTGATGGCCAATTTATCCTTTAATACCAGAAATTCTATCAATTTGTGCTTTATGTGTTCTGCTCCTGTATAGTTACAGACTATTTTATTAGGTACATACAGGTTTAAAAGTCATTCTGTTTTCCAGTGAATTAGATCATTGATTATTTATAGTAATCCTCACAATCGTTTTGTCATAAAGTCCTGCATTTCTGAGTGTAATATAGCTTCTCCAGCTGTTTGGGGGTTGGAATTTGACTGGTATGTATTTTTCCATTGCTTTCCTTTTAACCTTTCTGTGCTGCCTTCAGTGTTACTTCATAGATACTACATAGTTGATTTTCCTCTTCCTCTTCCTCCTTCCCCTCTCTCAGCCCCCACCTATTCTTTCAATGGTTACCTTTAAATTTTTACCATTCATACCTAATGAAGTATAATATCTATGCATCTTTTCCCCCCCAAATACAAAGAACTTGTATGATTATCGCTTAGTATCTTAGTCCTATCCTTTTTTAACCACATGACGTAGGTATTATTTAATTTGTTATTTAGATAATGTTTGTTTAGATTTGCATATATATTTAGCAGTTTCTCTCCTCATAGTTTCTTTTGCATCTCAGACCTGCATTCCTGAAGTATCTTCTTTAAAAGGTCCCATGGTGCAGATTGGTTGGTGGTAAAGAGAGTTTTAATTGTTTCCATTCCAGACAATTTTATTTTGATTCTATTCAACCTTTTTTAGCCTAGACAATTTAGACTGACAGAACTCCTAGCACTTGGGAGATATTAGTGTGCTGGGTTTTTTTGGCTTCCATTGCTCCTGTTAAGAAGCCTTCTCTCAGCCAAATCATGTTCCATGGTAGGTAATCTGTCTCTCTCTGTAACTGCTTTTAAAATCTTTTATTTGATTTTGGTATTCTGCAGTTTCTTATACCTAGGGGGGATTTTTTTTTTCCCCTTTTAATTTATCCTGCTTGGTGTTTTCTTCATCTGTAGATTTATATTTTTTCTCATTTCTGGGAAATTCTCAGCCATTATCTCTTCATATTTTTTCTCCTTCATTTTCTTCTTTCTGGAGTTCCAGTCAGAAATATGTTAAGGAATATCATTCTCTCCTTCATGTCTCTAATATATCTGAGATGTGTTTCATCTCCTTTATCTGTGCTGCATCTGGGGTAAAAACCTGAGCCCTGTCTTTGAGTTCATTAAGCCTTTGTGTTACTGAATCTCCTTTCATCCACTGAAGGATTGTTTCCCTCCTCAGCAATTCTATTTTTCGTTATTGGAAGATCTGTCTGATTCTTTGAGAAAGCGGTCTGGTTGTTTTGGATGGCTTCTTGTTACTTGCTTATTTTTGTTACTCTGTCTTTATGTTTTAGTCATAGTTTATAGTCTTTATATGCTGATTTCAATGTCTAAAGTATTAATTATTCTGAATCTGTTATTTGTTGTTTCTGGTGACTTTTGTTCATGGAGGATTGTTTTCTTGTATGTTAAGTCATTGGCTGAATTATTAAAATTTTTTTTAACATTTATTTATTTATTTTTGAGAGAGACAGATCACGAGTGGGGGAGGGGCAGAGAGAGAGGGGGGACACAATCCGAAGCAGGATTCAGGCTCAAAACTGTCAGCATAGAGCCCAATGAGAGACTTGAACTCATGGACCTGGAGATCATGACTTGAGCCAAAGTCAGATGCTTAACCCAGGCACCTCCATTGGCTGAATTATTATTAAGTATAAATTAGTAGAAAACTTCTTAGCCTTTGTTAAGTCAGATTTGCTCTGAAGAGAATTTGCATTTGATTTTACTACAGACCTGAAACTATACTAGCTTCCTTATAGGATCTCTGGCATCCAGGAATGTGGAGTTTCAGTTCTCCTACCTCGCTGTTCCATGTAGCAGTCTCCCTCCTCCAAACACTCCCTTGCTTGTGCTGATTACCAAGTCATCTCTGTTTTCTAATGTTTATATTTAGCTTTCAACTCAGAGTATTTTGGTTGCTTTGCATCTCCTCTTGGAGAGTTTCCTTATACCCTGAGACGCGCGCGCGCGCACACACAAACACGCACACACAGCACACCTATTTGGTTCTTTTGTTATGGGAGGACCCTTCAGAGTGTTTAATCAGCCTTTCTCCTGGAAATGGAGGTTCCAACCTTTTTTTTAAAGGGAAGAAGGAAGAGAGGGAATAATACAATATTGGACATTTGGGCAATGGAGATTAAGAAAGGAAACTTTTTAGGTTATGATCCTACCATTCAAATGAAGCACCTGCATGGAGAACATAAGATTAGAGCCTGCATTAATAAGATACAGGTAACGAAGGGGTGGGCAGACACACACAAGAGAGGGGAGAGCTGGAGACAACTGAATTCTCATCCTCTTATTCCCATTAGGCAGACATTCTTTTGGGAAACATTTGAATACCTGAGTCTTTATAGGATTATAGCTTAAATTTACTTGTTTCCAGTTCTCTGAAAAGTTATGTAGAACAATAACCAAGGAAATATATTTTTTTAATGTTTATTTACTTATTTTGAGAGGGAGAGAGCAAGTGCAAGCAGGGGAGGGGCAGAGAGAAAGGGAGACAGAGAATCTCAGCACAGGGCTCACTCAGTGTCACGAACCATGAGATCATGACCGGAACCGAAATCAAGTGTCTGAGGCCTAACTGACTGAGCCATGCGCTTGGCCCTCCAAAGAAATATTTTAAATAAAGTGTAGATAAATTATATTCTCTTACATGTGATTTTATTTGCATCCCTTATGTATATATATTTGAATGTTATTGTTCCTTCTCTTACTATTACAGGACAAGGAGTAGACGAGCCTCTTTCGGAAACTGGATTTAAACAAGCAGCTGCTGCTGGCATATTTCTTAATAATGTGAAATTTACTCATGTTTTCTCCAGTGACCTCACAAGGACAAGGCAGGTAAGTTCTACAGTCAAGGTTTAGACTGATGAGTCAAGAGTATCAACAGTCATAACCTTGAAAACTGCTACCAGAATCGTAGGAAATTAAATCACATGCAGATAACACCCCCAATCCTCTCCTTCCCCCACCAACAGGACTTCTTTCTTTTCATTTTACTTTTGTACTTTATTTTGATTTAGTAATTTTATTGTTATTTTTTTAAATGTTTTTATTTATTTTTGAGAGAGAGAGAGAGACAGAGCCTGAGTGGGGGAGGGGAAGAGAGAGGGGGAGACATAGAATCTAAAGCAGGCTCCAGGCCCTGAGCTGTCAGCATAGAGCCTGATACCGGGCTCGAGCTCACGAACTGTGAGATCATGACCTCAGCTGAAGTTGGACGCTTAACCGACTGAGCACCCAGGTGCCCCTTGTTAATTTTTAAATTAGAGTAGCGTGGGAAAAATACCTAATGAAATATCTTTAAAAAGACAAAGAAGGTTTATGAGAGAGCCAGCAGGAACACCAGGTAGGAGAATTTAACTCACAAAGACATCAAATAGTAGAATCCAGACATGGTTAAAAAAGAACTATGTTACTGTAGAGAAATAAATGACACGTTTGAAATATCTTTAGGGATCAGAGTACTATAAAAATGACCCCAGGGAATTAAAAAGGAACCAAATAAATGTCTAAAAACTCAATGGAAGGGGACTTTGTGTCAACCATGAGGGAATAACAGGGTTAGGATATAGTCTTCCTGCAAAAGCAACTAGAGAAACAGGGCGAAATTTGTGAAACAACTGTTTATAGACATTGGACTTCAGATAGTGTGGGCCTGTGGTCCCCAAATGAAGTGAGACAAGTAACATCAACCCTTGGATTGTCCTGGTGTTCCACCTGAAGTAATTTCCCAATGCTGGCAGGAAAGGCCAGATAGAGCCAGTGGTCTCAGGGAGTTGAGGAGACAAAGCTTGGAATTTGGGGAGGTTAAATAAAGATCGTCGGGCAGAGTGCTGGAAGAGGGAGCAACACAGAGAAAGAACTCTAGAAGTATGTATAGGAAGCCCCTTAAATTCTCGGTAGATTACAGTCTGCACATGCGTAGGTGAAACCTCATGAGGCCAGGAGAGAACAGTCCCTGGGGAACCAGAAGCCAGACAATTTCAAGTGTTCACACAGGTTGGGAATCATTTGTGTTCCTTCCACCCAAAGTGGAGGGACTTTGTTAAGTACATCAAGCATACAGTGGACACTTCAGAAAGATCACACCTTAATAGTGAAGCTGGGATGCCTGGCTGGCTCAGTCAGTAGAGCATGCAACTTCTTGATTTCCGGGTTGTGAGTTCAAGCCCCATGTTGGGCATTGAGTTTTCTTAAACAATGAATTAATTAATTAATGGGGTGCCTGGGAGGCTCAGTCAGTTAAACATCTGACTCTTGACTTTGGCTCAGGTCATGATCTCATAGTCATGGGATTGAACCCTGATTGGGTTCCGTGCTGAGTGTGGAGCCTGCTTAGAATTCTCTCTCTGGCCCTCTCTGGTTCACGCTGTGTCTCTCTCAAAATAAATGAATAAACATTAAAAAAAAAAAAAAACAGTGAAGCTCATCTGTGCTCGAGGAACATAATGAGGAAAGAAATAGAAGAAATAAAAAGAATCAAATTCATCTTCTAGAGATCAAAAATAACAGTATTCTGAAATGAAAATTACATAGTAGGGGATTATTAGCAGGTTAGACACTGTAGAAGAGCAGTGAACGTGAAGTTATAGAAACAGAACATTCCAAAATTAAGGAAGAAAGAAGACTGAAAAAAGGAAAAAAGGAGTCTCAATTGAGGGGTCTAAAATTGACCCACACCTACATGGCCAGGTTGTTTTTGTTGTTGTGGGTTTTGGTTTTTTTTCCTCTCAATTGTTTTTTGTCAGTTGGTCTTAAGTGCTCTCTTTATTTTATTATTATTTTTTAAAAATGAGTTTGGCTAAAGGTTTATCAGTTTTGTTGATTTTTTAAAGAATCAGCTCTTGGTTTTATTGATCTGTTTTATTCTCTTTTTTTTTCAGTTTCTATTTTATATATTTCCCCTCTTTATTATAACTTTCTTCCTTCTGCTGTTTTTAAGCTCCTGGTGGTTCTTTTTCTAGCTCCTTTAGGTGTAAGTTTAGTGGTTTATTTGAGATTTTTCTTGCTTGAGGTAGGTTTGTATTGCTATAAACTTCCCTCTTAGAACAGCTTTTGCTGCATCCCAAAGATGTTGGACCATTGTGTTTTCATTTTAATTTGTCTCCATGTATTTTTTAGTTTCCTCTTTGATTTTTTTTTGTTGTTGTTGTTGTTGACTCATTCATTATTTAATAGCATGTAATTCAACTTCCATATATTTGTGTTCTTCTCAGATTTTTTCTCGTGGTTGATTTTTAGTTTCATACTGTTGTGGTCAGAAAAGATGCTTGGTAGGACTTTGATCTTTTTGAATTTTTGAGATTTGTTTAGTGATGTAATATGTGATCTGTTCTGGAGAATGTTCCATGTGCACTTGAAAAGGATGTGTATTCTGCTCTTTTAGGATGAAATGTTGTTTCTGTATTGGTACACCCACCTGGTCCAGTGTGTCATTCAAAGCCACTGTTTCCTTGTTAATTTTTTTTTCAGATCTGTCCATTGATGTAAGTGGGGTGTTGAAGTACCCTACTATTATTGTATTACTATCGATTACTTCATGTTTGTTATAAACTGCTTTATGTATTTGGCTACTCCCATGTGGGGTGCATAAATATTTATAATAGTTGTATCTTCTTGTTGGATTATCCCCTTTATTATGTAGTGTCCTTCTTTGTCTCTTGTTACAGTTTTTGTTTCAAAGTCTGTTTTGTCCAATATAAGTATTGAAACCCCAGCTTTCTTTTGACATGCATTTGCATGATAAATGTTTCTCTATTGCCTCACTTTCAGTGTGCATGTGTCTTTAGGTCTGAAAGGAGTCAGACCTCCATTATGCTTGATGACCATTAATGAGACCATTATGCTTGATGGTGTCCCTGAGTTCCCTAAATCTATTCTCATTTTGCATAATTTTTTTTATCTTTCACCTACTCAGGTTGATTATTTTCCATTACTCTGTCTTCAGGTCACTGATTCGTTCTTCTGCTTCCTCTAGCCTATTTATTCCATCTAGTGTATTTTAAATTTCATTTCTTGTGTTCTTCATCTTGGATTGGTTCTTTTTTATCTCTGTGTTAAGGGTCTCATTGATGTCCTCCACTCTTTTCTCAAGTTCAGTGAGTATCTTTATGAGCATTATTTTAAATTCTCTACTAGGCATATTACTTATCTCCATTTTGTTTTGATCTCTTGCTGTGATTATGTCCTGTTCTTTCATTTGGGACATATTTCTCTGACTCTTCATTTGTGTGTAACTCGTGTCTGTTTCTGTGTATTAGGAAAGTCAGCTGTGTCTCCTTCTCTCAAAGGTAGTGGCCTTGTGAAGAAGAGGTCTTGTAGTGCCCTGCAGTGCAGTGTCCCCTGTTTACTAGAACCTGACACTGCAGGGGTGTCTACTATGTGTGCTGTGTGCACCTGGCTGTTATGGCTGAGCCAGTCCAGTCATCTGCAGAGGTTCTCTTTATCTGTTGTGGACAGGGTTTGGTCCCTTTATTGCTAGTGGGCCAATTTGGGGCTGCCTTGGGCCTGAGTTGAGTCAGACCATGCATTTTCCAGAGGTGTGGTAGCACCGAACTGCAGGGCACTTTCCCTCTGTTGTCCCCTGAGAAGCTTTTATTGGTGGACAGGACCTGCGGTCAGACTAGTTGTCTGCCTCCAGCCCACTGCTAGGGCCACAGTCTGGTGGGGGGTGGGGGGGTGGGGGGGCGTGGGGGTGGTGGTGCTGGTGGTATTTTCCCTCTCCCTAGGGCCAGAGTCACTTTGGAGTGGTGCTGGCCACTGTAGGAGCTACTTGCACACAGCCAGGCTTGTGGCAATGCCCTGGATGGGCTTGGGCCAGGAGTGTATTGGAGGAGGTGAATCTGCAAGGTGCTGGGGGGTGGGTGGCAGTGTTAGCAAGTTAGATAGTGAATGTCTGCCACACTGGTTCTCACAGCTGGCCATGTGTGTACTCTGTGGGGCAGGGGAGGGAAATGTTGCATGCCAGCTTCTTTCTTCCTGGGGGAGTGTCCCTGTGACTGCTGCGCCTCTGGACATGTTCTAAGATTAGTAAATAACTTTCTCTCCTGTATACCCCAGGCAGTTTTCAAACTGCTGCTTCTATGCTGTATCTTGGGCTGTTGGTTGTGCTGTCCCTTTAAGAGCTTGGGCTCTATGTCCTCTGTCCTCCAGGCTCTCCCAGAGCCACACCCCCTGGTTTTTAAAATTCCAAGTTTTAAGTCCGGCTGATTCTAAGAACTCAGAAAATTCAACCCCTCTAGTTTTCAAAGCCAAATGTAATGGGCATTTGTCTTCCCCACGTGGGCTTACTGTTGTGTGTTTCTCTTCCTTTTCCAGTCCTTCTGCTCCCTCCCTCCTGCGCATGGCTGGCCCATGGGTCTGTTTAATTCCCCATTGTGTCTTTACCCTTCCTACCCTCTTCATTGTGGCCTCTTATCTACCTTTACTTGTGGCATTTGTTCTGCCAGTCTTTGGGTCATTTTCTGGTTTATTTATACTGATGTGAATGTCATCTAGTAGTACTCCTGGGAGGAAGTGAATTTAGGGTCCTCCTACTCCATCATCTTCCCTGGAAGTCAGAATCTTTTTTTGTCAATTGGGTTTTGACAGAGGTGCCAAGGTAATACAGCACTTGACAGGGATTCTTTTCAATAAAGGCTGTTGAAACAATGGACTATCCATATAGAAAAACATGAACTTTGACCTTTACTGCATATAACACAAAAAAATTAACTTACACTTGATCTCAGCACAAATCTAAAAGCTAAATCTATATATCTTCTATAAGAAAACACAAGAGAGGGGCGCCTGGGTGGCGCAGTCGGTTAAGCGTCCGACTTCAGCCAGGTCACGATCTCGCGCTCCGTGAGTTCGAGCCCCGCGTCGGGCTCTGGGCTGATGGCTCAGAGCCTGGAGCCTGTTTCCGATTCTGTGTCTCCCTCTCTCTCTGCCCCTCCCCCGTTCATGCTCTGTCTCTCTCTGTCCCAAAAATAAATAAACGTTGAAAAAAAATAAATTAAAAAAAAAAAAAAAAGAAAACACAAGAGAAAAAGCTTTATAAAGGTTCTTAGTGCAAGGATCTTATTTTATATATAATATATATGTATCATATATAGCCATATTTATAAATTTTTTTCAGCTTAGTAATTAGAATAACACTTTAAAATGAGCAAAAGATTTCAATTTGACCAGGAACTTCACAAAGAAGAGAATATGGAAGGTCAATAAGCAGATTGAAAGATGTGTAGCATAATTGATCTTGACAGAAATGCAAATTAAAACCATAGTGAGATTCTATTACATGAACATTTGAAAATGCACAAGAATGTGGAACAACTAGGACTCCTACTTTGCTCGTGAGAATGTAAAGTGGAACAACTACTTTGGAAAACAGTGAAACTTTAGCATACACTAATCATATGATCCAGCAATCTCGGTCCTAAGAATTTATCCAAGAGAAATAACATATGTTTACACAAAGACTTGTACACATAATTAACAGTTTTGTTCATAATAGCTTTGTTCATTTGAACAGCTTCTGTTCAAAGAGCAGAATCACCCGTGTTCATCAGTAGATGAATGGATAAATGAGCTGTGATACATTCATGCTGTGGAATACAACTCAGCAACAACGTGAGGAGGAGTGGAGGAGTCTCAAAAACATGGAGGAGTCTCAAAAACATGCTGAACAAAAGAGGCCAGGCACAAAGAGTACATATTGTATGGTTCCATTTATATGAGACTCCAGAAAGGATAAATTTAATCTTCAGTTATGTAGAGCAGGTCCATGGTTGTCAGGGGCCAGGAGTGAGAGGGATTGACTAGAAAGGACACAAAGGAATCTTTTAGAGTGATAGAATTCTTCCATGTCTTGATTTTGGTGGTATGTAGATAGTCGTATACATTTTTCGAAACTCAATGAACTGTACACTTAGCAATAGGTATGTTTTTTTGTTGTAAATTATACCTCAATGAAATTGATTTAAAAACACAGAACAAGTTGATAAACCAAAAATGAAAACCTCAGTGGATTTACTAAATTACAGATTAAACATAGTTGAAATGATCATTAGCTCATAGGTAAATGTAAAATAATAACTGAAATGTAGCACAATGTGATAAATAGATTAAACATTTGAGAATTTAAAAAAAATGAACATGATATGAGGTCTGGTGTCTTTCAGAAGGAGATGTTAGAATGCGAAAGGGGTCAAAGAAGTCACAGTTGATAGTTTTACAGAACTTTTGAAAGATAACACATTATCAGATCTAAAAAGTGTGACAAATCCCAGTGGAGATAAATAAAAAGAAACCCATATCTACACTTACAATAACAAAATTGCAAAGTCCAAAGATTAAGGACAAACGTCATCCACTAATGTCCAGTATTAGACTATCAACAAATTTGTCAGTATCAGTAATAATTTTTTTTAATGCACTGAAGAGATAATAAAGACTAACCTAGAGTTTTATACCCGGGAAAACATTTTCTAGGGTGTAGGTGAAATGAACACATTTCAGACAAACAGGCTGTAAAGGAACTTTCAAAGGATAATTGAAGAAGGAAAATAATTCCAGAAGGGAAGTCTGAGTTTCAGAAAAGATGGGTGAGCAAAGATACTGGTAAAAGTAAGGGTAAATGTAAACAAATAGTGACAATATAGAACCATAATGATGATCATGTTTAATTTGTGGGGAGAGGGTTAAAAAACAAGTCAGATTGTGGACTTAAATTATTTCTAGTTTTGCAAATACAGTGTTTCTTGTTAATCAAAAATAACCGGGCACACCAGGAGAGAAGGAAACATGAACAAAAATGAGCCCAAACAAAAGATGACAGAAACAAGCCGCAGGATTTATTTGATAGCTGGTTACCAGACACGGACTTTAAAATAACTATTGAATGCACAGATTAAAAAATGACATATGGAATTACAACAGAGAACTGGAAATTATGCACAAGAGCTAAGTGTGAATTCTAGAACTGAAAATATAACTGAAATTAAGACTCAATAGATGGGTTTCACAGCAATGTAGCAACACCTGAATGCAGAATTAATGAACTGGAACCTTTTCTGTAAAGGGCCAAATAGTAAGTTTTTTTAAGTTTTATGGGCTGTATGGTCTCTGTCACAACTGTTCAACTCTGCTGTTGTACTGTGAAAGCAGCCACAAACAATACATAAATAGCTGTGTTCTAATAAATCTTCATTTATGACCACAAGCCGTGGTCTAGATTTGGGCTCTAATTTGCTGACCTGCAAACTAGAAGATCGGTCACAAGGAAATACCCAGATCTGTGTGAAGAGAGGCAACTTTCACAAAGGAAAATTATTTCTAGTTCTTTTTTTATATACTATGATGTATTTTGACATTTTGGCTAGAATGACTCTTTTTGTGAGAAAAGAAACCATTGTCTTTCCATTTTCAGACTGTGCATGGGATATTGGAGAAGAGCAAAGTTTGCAAAGATATGACAGTAAAGTATGATTCAAGGCTTCGAGAAAGAGTAAGTAACGTACTTACATATTGTTCTTCACAATAAGTCATCAGTAAACCAGCTCAGTTTATCAGACGCATTCCTGATAGGGATGTGGAATCAGCTAACATGTTAAGAACCTGCTGTGTGTCAGTGGCTGTTACGGATTCTCACTGATAGTATCATATTTAATTATTAAATTCCCAAATTATAAAAGCAAGGTCTCCTCATAAGAACTAGTACAGAAGAGTGTGAGGTAAAGTGCAAAGTTCTCTTCTTGGCCTCCCCATCCTACTTCCCAATTTTAAGCTTGAATAGACTGTCTTATGTCCATTTTATATACCAGAAATGAAACTTGCTGAGATAGTGACTTAGCTAAAGCCACATCTCAATTTCAGATCTGAGCTTGTCCTCCCAGAGCAGTAATTTTGCTCTTCACTATGGGCCCATGAGCTGGCTAATGTCCCCATCAGCCCTGTGATTTCTTTTGTACCTGGTTAGATGTGTCGATGGCTAGGGCATCTTTGAGAATTGCTTTTCATAATTTGCCTGTGTTCTCTGTTTTTGTCCAAAATACATACCAGAGTTCCCGCAGAGGTGCTGCTTGGAAAGGCTCAGTCTGTGCCTGAGAACTAGTGCTCCAGTGTTAATACAAGCATTACAAGTTCAGTGGAACACTGGACGAGGCCTGCGATCGCACAGTAGAGAGACGGTCTCCTTGTCCTGGCCATTCTTCTGTGTGCCCTCTCCCTGAGTCACTGCATCCTTTCCTGTGATTTCAGTTGATTTCCAAATATATATTTTTAGCTTAGATCTCTTGCCTGAGCTCACATATCAAACTGCCTACTTTTGATGTCTGTGTGTGTGCCCCACATCTACTTCTAGCTCAGTGGAGCACACCATCTTTTCTCCACGTAGCTCCTGCTTTACCCAGTCACTCAAACTACGCATTCTTGACTTCCTTGCTTCCCACTTGCACATCCTACCATCATCTTGTCAATTTGGCCACTGTGTAATAGTTCTTGAATCGTTCATCCCTCTGCAGACCCACTGCTGCCATCCTACTGTATTCAGTGTCCCCTGTCACCTGGATCACCTGGATCACCTGGAACAGTGGTTCTCCTGTCTTCTGCCTTGCTCTCGCTTTCTGATCTAATCTCCACACTGCAGCCAGAGTAATCTTTGGAAAACTTGGTTGCTGCGTTCCTGTATAGAACAATTCACTGTTTCTCTTTTACCTTCGGAGCCCATCCAAGCTCCAGCCTGGCTGTCAGCATAGTGTAGGATATGATCTGTTTTCTCCATCTGCCTCCTCCTTCCTTGTGCTTACTGCCCAGCCTTAGTAGTATTAGTGAGCATTTGCACAGTGCCCACCACACTCTGGCAGGGGTCTCAGAACTGCAGGTTTGTTAATCTTCACAATACCCCTAAGATTTAAAACCTCATTTTTACAGTTGCAGAAACCAAGGCACACAGAGGTCAAGTCCATGGTCATAGAGCTAATGATTTTTAATGTTCTCCTTTATAAAATAGGTTGTTCCAGTTATAATTAAAGATACAAGAATTGAACTTGAGTGGCACCTGGGTGGCTCAGTCAGTTAAGCGTCTGACTGTTGATTTTGGCTCGGGTCATGATCTCATGGTTCATGAGTTCGAGGCCCGCATTGGGCTCTGTACTGGCAGTGCGGAGCCTGCTTGGGATTCTCTCTCCCTCTCTCTCTGCCCCTCCCCTGCTTGTACTCTCTCTCTCTCAAAATAAATAAATACACTTAAAGAAAAAGAATTTGAACTTAAGAATTGGAAGAGCACCTGACAAATGTGCATATGCTCCTATAAATAACATTTAATTAATTGTTGGACTTCTGTCCGGTGGTGGTAGAATTTTGAGGCATCATCAGTATAAACCATAAATAATGATTTATCTTTAAATATTTTATTCTGTAAGCAATCTGTTATCATTGTGGGGAACTAAAAGTAAGAATAGTTTGGGAAAAAATACAGCTAAAATTTCTACCATGCCAAATATGGTGAACATTTTGGTATGTGTGCTCTTGGCTTTTTTCATGTTTGTCAGTCTGTCTGTCTATCTGTCTGGTTGTGTATGTATTTTTCTAAGTGTACCCCTTCTATATGTTGGTTTTTAACCGGATTTTCTCCCTGTGTTTATCAGTGCCCAAACACGCATGTGGATACGACCACCTGATTAGTGACTGTATTATTCCCGTAAATGGATATTGCTTGGCTGCCACTACTGGTGCACACCTAGGTTGTGACTCGATTTTCCACTGGTGTAAATAATGTTAAAATAAACATCTTTTTGTAGTTGATTCTTTATACACATGCCTAATAGATTTCCTACAGATGAAATTGTTGAGGGTGTCCTTTTTGAAAAGTCTATTACACACACTGCTGAATTTCCTTCCAGAAAAGCTGTGCCAGTTTGTACTTCCACGAATGATAAGGGAGAGTTTTTCTCACATAAACAGTAGCTATTGGTAGTCTCTTTGGTCTTCCAATTTAATAGCTTCCGAAAGGTACCATTTTAATTTTCACATTATGGATTCCTGAGGAGTTTCTTGGCCGTTTGTATTTCGTTTGTGACTTCTGTGTCCTTTGCTGTGGCTCATTCTTTATGAATCTAAAAAGTTAATAACCTTTGAAATCACACAGATCGGGGTTTGAATTTCAAATTTGCTGATTATTAGCTATAGGAATATAGGCTAGTTGCTTAACCTCTCTGAAATTCTGCTCTCCCATTCATAAACATGGTGATGAAAATGCCCATCTCCGAGTGCTATTATTAGGACCAGATGAGATGGCATGCGAGGTGGCTGACTTGGTTGCTGCATACATTAGTCTCTGGTCCTGGAATCTGTGCAGATCTATTTGTCCAATAAAGCCACACTGTCTAGTTGAGTGTGTTGTTCCCTATAACGCATCTAGACACAGTGTCTAGTTCAAGGTGTCAACTGTATTTTCTAGGGTTCACGGCCCTCTACTGAGTATATTCTCATTATGGGTTTAAAAGATAGAATGAAGTCAGTGAAAGGAAGCCAGGCTTCTTGCCAGAATGATTATTCCAAGTTTGTCCTAAGCATGTATTTACTTGTTGTATTGCAAATTGATTTGAGGCACTTTTGTCTGTTGGACCATTGCAGAAATACGGAGTTGCAGAAGGCAGGGCACTAAGTGAGCTAAGGGCGATGGCCAAAGCAGCTGGGGAAGAATGCCCTGTGTTCACACCACCTGGAGGAGAGACATTAGACCAGGTACGTAGCCCTGGGGCAGGTTGTCACCTGCATGAACCTGCCAAGGTCAGAGTACCTAATACTGAGTTTGTTTTATAAATGAGATGTCTTTAAATCTCAGCTGAGTGGTTTGAAAGTTGTTTGGTTCATAAACCAATTCTATATGGTGTGTTTATTTTTCCTTTTTAAGCTGTCTTTCTTATTTATTAAGTTGGCAGTCATTGCCAATAATGGATTTAAAGGATGTGTGTTAAGGTGATACTTGAAGAAAACTCTTTGAATATGAAGCAGTAACTCCCACAGTGGTACTAGCAGGAAGGAGGTGAGTGCAGTGCCGTTCAGTGAGGGCGGCAGGCAAAGTAACTGCGGTCTCAAAATCTTCAATGCTCCCTAAGTGACATCATCACTGTGCTTGAATTTCTTTGAAGTGTCCTGCTTTTAGACTGCATTATTGGTGATCCCCACCCCCCCACCACCATTTTTTATTTTCATAATTTTCTCCTAAAGACTTTCTGTTTAGTAAAGGCAAGAAGAGCTTTTGTCCTTGTGGTTGCTCTAGGTGCCCTTTCCTAGACACACTCTTTTATGGGCTTCTTTTTACTTGTAAATTTCCCTAATTAGATTGTAAGTGCTCTCTCTGAAGGAAAGAATTAGAAATGGTATTTTACTCATCTTTGCCCCTAGATGTGCTTCCATAGTTCCAGAAATACCTGGGCATTTACTTCTGATTGAATGCATAGAAACAGAATTTCATTTGCTTATGTAGTACTTACATTGACATATTAGAAAATCCAGTCAGTTATGTTTTATGTATGTTTTAGACTATCATTAGTGGCACTTTATTTTAATTTGTATTTTCTTTTCTTGTAGGTAAAAATGCGTGGAAAAGACTTTTTTGATATTCTTTGTCAGCTGATTCTGCAGGAGGCAGGTGAAAATGAACAGTTTTCCCGAGGAGCTCCAAGCAACTGTCTGGAAACTTCTCTGGCAGAGATATTTCCCTTAGGAAAAAACTGTCCCTCTGAATCTAATTCAGACAGCAGTGCTCCAGGATTAGTCGCCAGTGTCTTAGTTGTGAGTCATGGCGCTTACATGAAAAGCCTGTTTAATTATTTTCTGACTGACCTTAAGTGTTCCTTACCCACAAGTCTGAACAAATCTGAATTTATGTCAGTCAGTCCCAATACAGGGATTAGTCTCTTTATCATAAACTTTGAGAAGGGACAAGAAGGGAAGCCAACAGTTCAGTGTGTTTGCATGTACCTACAGGATCATCTCAGTGGAATGACTGAAACTTGCTAAATTTAAGTCTACATCAAAATCTAGCAGTTTTGAACCTCTGAGGGAGTGCCTTTGGCTTTATTTCCATCCTCTGCTAGTGCTGATTTGGAAACCGTTAAAAAGCTATGACAGCAGGTTATGAAGTTTGACTGGAATCGTGGTCACAGAGAACACTAAGGGAAGAAACCATTTAGGACCGACTTATTTTGTCTTGAGTACAGTCGTCATTTTCCGAAGTAATTTTACCACCCTGTTCAGTTACATCTCTGGATTGTTTATGGATCAACCAATTCGGTATTGCAAATTGAGGTATTAATGACCTTGTTACTATGGTTTTTTGTTTTTGTTTTATGTTGATTTTTTTAATATCTGAAAAAACCTAGCCTGTTTTGTTGGCTCTTGGTAAGATACTGTATGTTTTTTACTATCTCGTTCAGTGCTTGAAAGAAGGAACTATTTATAATTCCCACTGCATATTTATAGTGAGAACACACTGTATTTTAAGTCTTTAAATTAAAAATTCTTAACTACCCTCAGTTTATATAAAGCAGAATGACACTACAATTTTTAATCTAGAAATCAGCTGTTGGAATTTTTTACCCTGGAGGGTATGAAACGTGGATGAATAAAGATTATGATTGCAGATTGGTCTGGTGAGGAAGAATTTAAAACATCATTTGACTAAGACACATTAAAGAAGGAATCTGAGCAAAAGAAGATAGAAGAACAGCCTTTTCTTAACTTACAGGCTGAAGAATTTAGTTTGAGGAAGGCTCTGAAGAACGTACATGGTTACTAGTGTAGTACACAGTAACCTCAGAAGGAAAAGACTCTTCCTTGGAAAGAATGTTGCTCTTGCTCTGATAACCACAACTGTGGGTTTTTGTGGAAGGTACAGTTGCCTCTTTTTTCCACCAGATGGCACTGGAGAAGCGGGAGTTTATTTAACTGAATTTTGTACATAAGATTGGCCCCTCAAAAGTCCTTACCTAAATTGAAGTGTTTTACACTTTTTTTTTAAGTTATCATGCTCATGAATGCTGTGAGTCTAAACTTACAAGAGTATTAATAGTCAAGTTTGTCAGTTAAGGCTAAAATCACATATGGTCAAAATTCACCTTGGACAGCACTTAAGTCTCTCATCAAGATCCAGTGTTACAGTGTTCTCAGCATGCCCACCCCTGCCCCTTGCCTGCAGAGAGCATGTGGTTGAGCACTAGAGGGAGTACTCCACAAGGGAAAACTTGGGAAGGGAATTAAAAAGGACGAGCAATAGTAAATGTCCACATTCTCACCATCCAGAAGTAATAACTACCCTCTTCTTCCGTTTTTTTTAAAGAAGTAATGCACTGAGATGTAAGTGAAATTCTTTAACCAGTTCCCTCAGTGCCCCCTTGTACCTTGCAGAGGCCACCACCGCAACGCAACTGTATATGTGCATCCATTCTTTACGTTTTTACCCACGATCGTAAGGAAATGGTGTTGCCTCAGAGTTTTTTAAAATGTACATAAATGTCACCAGCCTGTATTCTGTATTTTCACTTACTATATCATGGGGTTCTATCTATGTTGGTATGTATGGATCCACTTATTATCACTGTATTCTATTAAATAAATGTGGCACATGCTCATTTTGCCTCCTACGAGTGGACATTTGGGTGTGTTCTTTATGTCCTTCTAGAAACAGCCTTCTGCATCTCTCTCTGCACTGTGTCATAAAAAATGGTGCGTCTCCAATTTGACAAGAGTCAAATGGGTTTTCACAATGGCTGTCCTGATTTTCAGTCTTACTGGCAATACTCGAAAGTTCCTATTTTCCTCATTTCTGTTAGCACTTGATACTGTCTAGTGAAATCCTGTGAGTCTGATGAGTGAAGAGTATAATGTCACTGTTTTAATGAGCTTTTGTGTGATTGCTGATGACTCTGGGTGTTTTTTCTTGTGTGTATTGACAGGATCCCCACACTAATGAATCACTGATATATATACATTCTTTGCTTGGTTTCTTTGTTGGACAATTTGGCTTTTTCTTAGTGAGCTGCAGAGGTAACATTGTAACATCTTACAATTTACTTGCCTTTTACATATGCTTATCAAGCTTTTTTTCATGTCAGTGTTTTTTCGTTATTAAGTCAGATCCCTGTATCCTGTTTTGTTATGGTTCGTCTTTAAGAAGCCTTTCCTACTTCTTAAAGGTAGGCCTCCTGCTTTCTTACAGCTTTAGATGATTATTTGAATGCTAAATCTTTAGATTATCTGGAGGTTATTTTTGTATGGCATAAGGTAAGAAATCAATTTTGTATTATTTTTCCGGGTGGTGAAAAAGTTACCCCATCATCATTATTAGGTGTCTCTACTTTCCAAATGATTTGTGATTCTACTCTGTTCATACCCCCATGGGCCCATATTTGCTGGAGTCTGTGGACTTGGTTCTTAGTGAGCTATGTATTCCCATAACAGTATCATAGTTACTGTAGCTTTGCAACTGGATCTCTTGTAGGGTGAATAACTCCTCTGGTTTCTTTTTCCTTTTTTTTTTTTTTTTTAATTAAAGTGTAATACAGTGTTTTATTAGTTTCAGATGTACCAATAGTGACTCAACAATGCTATACATTACTCAGTGCTCATCATGATAAGTGTACCCTTAATCCCCTTCACCTGTTTCACCTATCCCCTCCCCCGACTCTGGTAACCACCAGTTCTCTGTATTTAAGTATTGGCTTTTTTGTTTGTCTCTTTTTCCCTTCGTTCATTTGTTTCTTAATTTTTACATGAGTGAAATCATATGGTATTTGTCTTTCTCTGACTTATTTCACTTAGCATAATATACTCTAGTTCCGTCCATGTTGTTGCAAATGACCAGATCTCTTTTTTTATGGCTGAGTAATATTCCATTGCATATGTACACCACATCTTCATCCAGTCATCTGTTGATGGACACTTGGGTTGCTTCCATGTCATGGCTATTGTAAATAATGCTGCAATGAACATGGGGGTGCAGATATCTTTTTGAATTAGTGTTTTCATATTCTTTGAGTAAATACCCAGTAGTGGAATTACTGGATCACATGGTAATTACATTTTTAATTTTTTGAGGAACCTCCATAATGTCTTCCACAGTGGCTGTGCCAGTTTGCATTCCCACCAGCAGTGCATTCCTTTTCCTCCACATCCTTGCCAACACTTGTTGTTTCTTGTGCTTTTTATTTTAGCCATTCTGATAGGTGTGAGGTGGTATTTCATTGTAATTTTTTTTTTTTTACATCTTGAGAATTTAATATGAACAAAAAAAGCAGTTCTCTTTATAAAAGAGCTTACTATATAATTCATGTATTCAACATTTCTTAAATATTTAGAAGGACCTACTGTTTTGTTTTTTTGTTTTTTTATCCCAGCCATGTGTTTTTTTTTTTAATTTTAATTTTAATTTTTTTAAATTTACATCCAAATTAGCATATAGTGCAACAATGATTTCAGGAGTAGATTCCTTAGTGCCCCTTACCCATTTAGCCCATCCCCCCTCCCACAACCCCTCCTGTAACCCTCAGTTTGTTCTCCACATTTATGGGTCTCTTCTGTTTTGTCCCCCTCCCTGTTTTTACATTATTTTTGTTTCCCTTCCCTTATTGTCATGTTTTGTCTCTTAAAGTCCTCATATGAATGAAATCATATGATATTTGTCTTGCAGTGACTGAGTAATTTCACTTAGCATAATACCCTCCAGTTCCATCTGTGTAGTTGCAAATGGCAAGATTTCATTCTTTTTGATTGCCGAGTAATACTCCAGTGTGTGTGTGTGTGTGTGTACATATCACATCTTCTTTATCCATTCATCCATCAATGGACATTTGGGCTCTTTCCATACTTTGGCTATTGTTGACAGTGCTGCTATAAACATGGGGGTGTCCCTTCGAAACAGCACACCTGTATCCCTTGGATAAATGCCTAGTAGTGCAATTGCTGGATCGTAGGGTAGTTCTATTTTTAGTTTTTTGAGGAACCTCCATACTTTTTTTCCAGAGTGGCTGTACCAGCTTGCATTTCCCATCATTGTAGTTTTGATTTGTATTTACCTGATGATGAGTGATGTTGGACATCTTTTCATGTATCCGTTGGCCATTTGTATGTCTTCTTGGAAAAATGTCTCTTCAGGTTTTCTGCCCAATTTTTAATTGGATTATTCATTATTTTAGTGTTGGGTCGTATATATTCTTTATATATTTTGGATATTAACCTCCGATCAGATTATCTTTTGCAGATATCCTCTCCCACTCGGGAGAGGATGCCTTGTCATTTTGTTGGTGGTTTCTTTGCTGTGCAAAAACCTTTTATTTTGCTGTAGTCCAGCAAGATACTATATTTTGCTTTTGTTTCTCTCGCTTGAGGAAACACATAGAAAAATGTTTCTATGGCTTATGTCAAAGAAACTACTGCCTATATTTTCTTGTAGGAATTCTATGGCTTCAGGTCTCGCTTTGAGTTCTTCAATCCATTTGGGGTTTATTTTTGTGTATGGTGTAAGAAACTGGTCCAGTTTCATTCTTTTGCACGTAGCTGTGCAGTTTTCCCGTCACTGTTTGCCGAAGAGGCCATCTTTTCCCCATTCGTGTTCTTGACTCCTTTGTCATAGGTTAATTGACCATATATGTGTGGGTTGATTTCTGGACTCTTTCCTGCTGTGTTGCTATATGTGGCTATTTCTGTGCCATTTTTCTTGTTTCATTTTTATAGTTGTCCTAGCTATTTGTGCACCTGTATTCTTCCATATACATTTAAGAATCAATTTCCAGAAAAATTCAGTTGCACATTTATTTGGAATCCCATGCATTTGTTCACTTATCTGGTCCCTCAATACATATTTTTCAAGCGTGGCACACACATGCCAGGTGTTATGAGAACTATTAGAACTGTTACCAGAGCTGCAAATATCTAGAAATGGACAAAAAGTAGACTCCATCCTTGAGGAGTGTATAGTCTTTCAGGGAAGACAGATAAATATGCAACATGTCAGAGTGTGGTCAATGGGAGAGAGAAATGGAGCAAGGTAAGGGGATCAAGATGGGAGGGAGGATGCTGCTTTGTTAAGGGTAAGTACGAGGGGGCTTTCTAAGGTGTTTTCAAGAGTTGTGAAGGGCGTGAGTGAGCTCTGCTGGTCTTCAGGAGAAGAGCACCCTAGGCAGGGAGTTGAGAGTGCAGAGACCCTGAGGAGGGATCTTGCTTTGCGTGTTTGACCTGCAGGGGGAGTTGGGAGAGTGGTGGCAGAGGAGGACTAAGGGGATGGGGAGGTGGTGTGACCCTGTGGCCTATGCTCAGGATTATGGAGAGCATATGTTGATTGATTAATATCTGATGGGAGCAGTCAGTGACACAGGAAAGGTATGTGGTCAGAAGACCTGTGTGCAAGTTCTGGTCCTGGCTCACAGTAGTTTTGTGGATGAACAAGTCTCTTAATAGCCTGAGCTGCTGTTTCCTTATACTAAATGGAGAATAATTGTAGTAATGTATGTACATGTGTATCTGCTTTGGTAGCCTTTTGGTTTTGATATGTCAAACCTTACAGAAAAGTAGCAAGAATAATATAAGGAATTCCTGTATACCCTTTACCAAGATTCCCCACTTGCTTACATTTTGCCACATTTGCTTTGTCATTCACTGTGTGTGTGTGTGTGTGTGTGTGTGTGTGTGTGTGTGTGTATGTGTGTTTCCCCCCTGACACCTGAGAGTAAGGTGGAGACCTCAGGCTCTTGTGTTTCCCTGGATCAAGGATGTTCTCATATAAAGCCACAGAGATTTGATGTGGATACAGTCTTATCTAGTCCACAGACCATATCTAAAGTTTTCTAATTATTCCATTGATGTTCCTTATGGCTAATTTTTCCCCAGTTCAGCATCCAGTCCAGGACCATGTACTGCATTTAGCTGTCAGGTCTCTTCATTCCTCTCTGGTCTGGAGCCATTTCTTTGTCTTTCTTGACTTTGTTATTAAAAAAAAAAAAAAAATGTGTGTGTGTGTGTGTACACAAAAAAATGTTTTTTCCTGATACTTCTCATTATTAGATTCAGGTTGTGCTTTTTGTTGGAATTACCCTAGAGAGGATGTGTCCTTGATGAGTCTCATCAGGACATATGTGATGTATCACCAAGTCTGTCCACCATAAAGTTGCTATTTATGTGATTCCTCGTGAGTTTCTACCCTCTCTGTTAGTCTCCACTGATTATTTTTTTAAATCTTTATTTATTTATTTTGAGAGAGAGAAAGAAAATGTGTACACACATATACCAGCAGGGGAGGGGCAGAGAGAGGGAGAGGGAGAGAGAATCCCAAGGAGGCTCTGTGCTGTCAGCACAGAGCCGGATATGGGGCTCAGTTTACAAACTGTGAGATCATGATCTGAGCTGAAATCAAGAGTCAGATGCTTAACTGACTGAGTCACCCAGGCGCCCCTCCACCTGATTATTTTCTAACTCCATTTTTGATTCTGTATTTATTAGTTGGTATTTTAAGTAAAGAAAGAACTTTCCCATCTTCCCTACCTATTTATTTATATAACTATAAACTCAGGGATATTCAGTGACTCAGAATCCAGCCCTGTTGTTATTTTGTGCTCAATATTGTCCCAGAGGTGTCCTGTGGGAATCCTTT